GGATAGACTCCCACTGCTGCTGTGCTCGTCAGCCATGAGCCTGGCTTCTGGCTGAGTGGCGCTCCCTCTGTGGGAGCACACTGACCACCAGGTGGCAGCTCCAGAGTTAAGTGTCTGTCCCGTGGTGGTCAGTGTGCATCATAGTGACCCATCATTCCACCATTTGGTCATTTGCATTTTAGCCTTTTATATTATGTAGGATTACAGAGAATGAGGTGAATCTTTAAGGTGTAGAAATATACCCAAAATATTTGTTAAGTGGTAAAAGCAAATGATATCATAATGTTAGTGTAGCTTTAGCATGCATTCATAGCTGCTGAAGCTGTGTGAGTTCTATACTTTTATGTATGTTTGAGCTATTCCATGGTAAAACGTTTTAAAAATACATTTAAAATAGTTACTGAATAGCCTCATGGATTCATTCTTAAACTCAACTTAGTTTCATTTATTTCTTCTGGAAGTCACTGATCTGGGCTGTGAGACTGGTGTCATTCTGTTTTATGACTCTTAGAGTAGCTTGAGGTGCAAACAAAATAAATACAGGTTCTGAATTCCCTTTGTCTTCACCCACTTGGAATCCTCTCTGAAACCATTTGGGCATTTTAAGTAACCCTGATTACCCAGCAACAACAGTGAGCCTTTCAGGCGGCCAGGGAGGATAAAATAGCTCCTCTGCCCTTCTGTGCTTGCACGACAAAAGGCAGAGAAGCTATTAAACACGGTGCTCAATGGGCTCATGAAGAATGAGCATGGAACTGTGCATTTGGCATCTGCGGATCTGAGCCTCTGCCCCGTGTGAACTTGTAATCATTGTACTGTGGCCTTTTTTTTTTTTTTTTAATATATTTTATTGATTTTTGTACAGAGAGGAAAGGAGAGAGATAGAGAGTTAGAAACATCAATGAGATAGAGTCATCGATCAGCTGCCTCTTGCACACCCCCTACTGGGGATATGCCCGCAACCAAGGTACATGCCCTTGACTGGAATCGAACCCGGGTCCCTTCAGTCCCCAAGCCGACGCCCTATCCATTGAGCCAAACCGGTTTCGGCTGTAATGTGGCCTTTTAAGTTTGGCTGACAGTTAGACATTGGCATAGGAGGTTGAGGAATGCCTAAGCCAAAAACTGACCTCTGAGTATTCCAAAATCAGGAGTCATAGGGTGACTTTCCTTGCCTTTTTTTTTTTTTTTTTCTTAAAAAAAAAAAAATGAAGATGATTTATCCTTAGAGCGGAAGCTGAGCATGGCTATATTTGGCTCTGTAACCTTTGGACCTGTTTGATGGATCCTCTCGATGGCCTTCTCTTCCAACTGCATGCAAGTCAGGGTTAGTCCTAGAGTCCCCTGGCTCTCATTGCCTCTCTCAAAGCAGTTTCCCTGGCCCCAGCTTCCCTAAAGCGAGTAATTTGAACTTATGTTTCAGGATTCTTCTTTTCCCTCCGGAATCCATCTCTAAGGGGCAAAGCACATGGCTTTCTATAAGTTGAATACTTTGGAGCAAAGGTCCCAGTGAGGTTTATAGAATTTCCTCCCTTTCCCTAAAAATAAAACAGGCTCTGAGTTGGCCAGGGCAGCTCACTGTTTCTCTCACTGGCCACAGCCTACTGCAAGGCTGAGCTGGAGCTAGGGAGGAATGGGCTCGGCCACAGCTAAGTGGGGAGGCTGCGCTCAGAGCCTTCTGGAATGCTCTGCAGGGTGTACTGTCCTAGAGACATGAATGGGGCACTCTCGGGGCAGAGTTGAGTGTCTGGGGACAGCAGGACAGACCTCAGTGTGGAGGTGTGAGATAGCAGGACTTAGTGTAGAACTGACAGCCTGGGATTGTATCACATCCTTAATCAAACCCCCTTGGGATCCTAATTTGAGAGGTTTGTCCTGTTGGATCACACCCGGTATAAAACCAGCAATGGCATTTGCTTCGGGGCTGGCACAGTCCTGGGGATGCCTAAAATTAGACTGACATGTCAGGGCTGCGGTGCCTCTGCCCTGGGGCATCCTGTGCCAGGATGAGTTGCGTCGCTCGGCTCTGTCTTCTGAGCAGTGAGGTTGTGCAGACTTCCCTGTGCAGAAGGTATTGTGACGGGGAACAAACAAAACTGATTGCAAAGCAGTTTTCTCTCCCGGAACAATGCCTGCTACCTATAACAGCAGCTGAGTAATAAGCCGGCAAGCCTCTTGCCTGGGCTGTTAGTCACACACTTGCTTGAGCAACCGCAGGTCAGCTTTTAGACTGTGTGGGTTTCTGTCAGCACTTGTTTCTATTACCTGGGAATATCCTTCCCGAGCTCTGAGCAGCCATAAGGGCTTCAGGCAAACTCAGGAACTCGGTAACCTTCTTTGGCAAAGGGAGAGAGTCAGAATGCTCTGGGCACAGGTCCATACAGGCCTGGACAGCTGGGCTAGACCAGGGTGCTGATATAGCCAGCTCAGATCCCCCACAGCCTTGCTGTCTCCTGGGGCCGCAAACTATATATAATCTCTGACCCTGTCTGGCCGCCTGTAATGTGCCCTCCGTCCTAGAGGAGCCAAACAGCCTAAGCCTTGAGACTAAAACTACTTCTGAAGGTCTGAGGGCCAGCGCTCCGGGCTGTGGCCTCGCTCCTGTGCACATGACCACAGTCCTCCTCAGCCCCACCCTGTGCTCCTGTGATTCCACTCACATGAGTCTTGCTCAGGTTGTGTGTGAGGGTGCAGGGCGGGCAGTGGGGAAGGAAAGCTTGTGTGGGAAGCAGGATTCTACATGCAGGAGGCTGCTTTGCAGGCTGGGGCCAGGTCTGGTTTAGAGGCAGAGAAGGCTTGCTTTTCTGAAATGGACCCACAGGTACCAAACACACCTTCCTTCATGCCCTTCACACCCAGGGAGACAGCTGCCCCGAGCAGAGAGGAGCTCTGGTCTGTGTTCCCACTGGCCTGTGCCAAGAAAACTGCTGCTCTCACCTCCCTTATCGGGCATTCCTGGAAGGCAGGGCTTTGTTTTCATTCTGGGTGTCCTACAGTGACCTCTCACTGTCAGACCTGCCGTGGTCAGACTCCCAGGTCACAGTTGAAACCGGTTCCGTCAGGTCTGTCATCACCTCCCTCCTCCAGCTGAACCGCAATCCCGGGCTGGACAGAGACCAGCCTTGTCTCTGGGGCCAAGCACACCACCAGAGCAGGGAGAGGAGAAAGGACCAGGAGTGCCCACCTCGGAGGGGAAGCAGAGTTGCAGTCAGCTGTGGCTACCGAAGATGCTCTAGTGAGGGACACCACCACCCCAACAGCACACCCGCCAGAGGCCAAGCAATGGCAGCCTCCCTGATGCCTACAGGGAGGGCACCCAGCATCCCTCCTGGCTGTGCACCTCCCTCCTCACAGTTAAGGCCGCGTGGTCTGGCTCTGAGTGCGTTGTTCCTTAGAAAAGCAAAGCATAGAGGTATCACCCAGTAGGCCCAGCTGCTTCTCTCATCCTCTTCCTGGTGACCCTGGCAATTGTGTCAGTGCAGGGGACGCTTTTCCAGCCGGCCTGGCACCTGATGCGCATGGTGCTGGGACGAGTGGGGCCGGGTGTTTTAGGACAGTGCCGCCTTTGATGTGCAGACGTTGATCAGTGTCCGGCTGTGCTCCTGTCTCCTGCGGAGGCCCATTATCAAACAGTTCTGCTGCTGGAAATTCACTTCCTCCAGTGAAATGGATTCTGCTCCTACTGGTTAAGGGAAGGGTGCAGAGTGCCTTGGTCCTGGTTCGCCATAATCCACTGGGCTCTCGAGACTCCTATGTACGTGGGGTACAGCCAAGCAAACCCTGTGCTTACTCCTGTTTTTCCTTTTCCTGGTTATTAACGTCACCACTAACTCCTGCGCCTAAGAGAGAAGTACAGAATCCTCAATTCTGTTTCCTCTCCCCTTCCATCTCCAAGTGGTCATCGACTAGCAATACTGGTTGTGTTTTCATCAATGCTGCTGACTGACCCCTCAATTTCCAATCCACTTGTCACTGTCCCAGCTCAGGTCTTAACATCTCTTTCCTGAACTGACTCAGCCGTCTCTCGCTAATCTTTTCTGTCCACCTGGGAATCTGTTCCTCCTTTAATCAGAGAGTTTCAATAGGTCCCTTTTGCTTAATATCTAAATACCAGAATTGCTTAGCACGGCCTTCATATTCCTTAGTGTGACCTTTATAATCTAGATCTAACTTTCCTCTCCATCTCTGGCACTTGATGGCTCCAGTGTTCCCTGGCCATCTCTCCAGCCTCGCTAGACCACATGAGCGTGAGGCTCCGGAGATCCCCGCGCATCACACCTCAGTGCCTGCCTCCCTGCCCCATCCACCCGCCCATACTGATCCGATACCCCTTTCGTGTCTGGCAGACGATGTCTACTATGGCATGGTGCCTCTCCCCTCCCACTAGAAGGAATTAATTGTTTTGTCTTGTATTTCTCTCAGAGCACTTGGCTCAGACGTCCATCATGCCACTTGTACTATATAATGGTTGGTCCTCTCTCCCTCTCCTTTTAGTGAGTGCACGATGCTAGGTCCAAGGTGAGCCACATCAACCTGATGCCTCCTCCTGGACCTAGAGTTTAGCAAAATAGGTCTCACCATCACACAGCGAGGACCTTAGGGATAAAGAGCATCTGTTCTCTTGATGCTTATCACAGTCCCTGGCTCACGGTGGCCACTTGCTTCCTGGATGGTCACTGAGTGAGCTCCAGTGGGCAGAGAGATACGAGAGCAGAGGGTTGGAGTGGGTGGATGTCCTTTGGGTACCAGGTAAGCGGGAAGCCCGGAAGAGTCACATTCTGCCCTCACTTCCCAAAGGGCAGCCTGCTTTCTATATGTGGTTAGTTACCCATTCATAGGGAACCATCTCCTAGGGACCACGAGGCCAATTTTGTGAGTTGATATAAATGCTTTTATCGAATAAACCAAAGAAGTCTCACCCTTTGAGGCTGAGCCAGCTCTTCCAGGTGGATGGTTTTAGGCCTGGCTGCCCTACCACTGCTGGTCCTTGTTCTTTCCAGAGATCTGAAACTGGACAATGTGCTGTTGGACCACGAGGGTCACTGTAAACTGGCAGACTTCGGAATGTGCAAGGAGGGCATCTGTAATGGCGTCACCACGGCAACCTTCTGCGGCACGCCCGACTATATTGCTCCAGAGGTGAGTGCTTTGGACCCCAGAGCCCTGCAGGGACCTGGTGAGAAATGCCTTTGAGTGCTGCAGCTTGCTGGGTGGCATTGAAAGCTGATGCCTCCAGACTCCTTTATGATTCTGTTGGCTGAACAGTGTCTAAGAATGCCCTCAGTTTCTCTAAATAAGGATTCCAGTTTGAGATTTTTGGGGTAAACTTTGCAGGTGCTTCTAGGCTTCAGCCCTGAATGAGGACAGAGTGCGCTCCCCTCACAGCCATGCATCTTCTTCCTTGTCTCTATTCCATGCTTTGATCGCAGCCCCATTTAGCAGAAGTAAAGCAAAACTCTTGACTCTTTCCCACACGAATGAGCGAGCCCAGCCTCCTTCCTATCCCACAGCTGTAGTTCCCACGCCCTCCGTGGTCTGGGTGTGCACATGCATTGCCTTGGCCTAAGCAGGCCACACATGTTTGATCACCTGGATGAGAAATGGCCTCAGAGCTGACCACAGGGGGAAAAAACAGGCCACCCTCTCTGGAGATAGGATGAAACGTGCATGTCGGCACAGGAAGTTCTGTTATTTTACTTTGCTATTTCCTAATCCCTTCTTTTCCCTGGTTATTAAGGACACGTTTGTTCATCAGACACTGGGAGCCCTTCTCACTCTGCCCTCTCTCTGCCCAGATCCTGCAGGAAATGCTCTACGGGCCCGCCGTGGACTGGTGGGCGATGGGCGTGCTGCTCTATGAGATGCTCTGCGGCCACGCGCCCTTCGAGGCAGAGAACGAAGACGACCTCTTCGAGGCCATCCTGAACGACGAGGTGGTCTACCCTACCTGGCTCCACGAAGATGCCACGGGGATCCTGAAAGCTGTAAGTGTGGCTTAACCGGCCGCTCGCGACCTCCAGCCACCAGCTGCCTGGATGGGATTCTGTCTGTTTAAAGCCTCCCACCAGTCAGCTACCAGCTTTAACTGAGATAATGTGTTTTCATCTGTAGAATCAAAGAACCAGAGTCCCCTCTGGCTGTTTTCCTCTCTCGTGCAATAGTTCTCCTGAGCCAGCTGTGATGGCAGTAGGTAGCATTGCCTGGCAAATCGCCAGCATGTCTAGCACTTGTGGCTTCAGTGCAGGTGAGGGATGCCCCCTTCAGTCCGGACAGTCCAGGTGCTGGGTCCCAGGACCACCATTCCCAGTGTGTTGAGCTGTCGATTGTGTTTCTGCTGGCGGCATCCAAGGAACAAGGCCCAAGGCCCTTTCCCTTAGTGCTGGGAGCTGAGAAAGAAGTGTTATACTTATGCAAGTCAAGTGCCCAGCCCAGGATTCGGTGTAGTGAGGTAATACAACACGTCATGCTGGAAAATGTATTTTTTGCGTGTATTTAAGGCATTGTACAGGAAGCCTTATTTTGAAGTAAGGAAGAAAGATGGGTTGATGGCTTTATGTTGGAAAAAAATAAAGCACATGTAACATGGTCTATTCTATAACCACATTAGTAAAGTTTCAAAATCATGTGTAACCACCTACTGCATGCATGAGAAGTGAAGGGGAACACCAGGGCAGATCTGAAACAGCTGGGTCATTGCTGAAAGGTGTCAGTGGTGCTGGAAGCTTCAGTAAGAGGCCTGTGGAGCAGCTGCATTTCCTCCTATAAGAACCCCAGTCCTGGAATAAAATTCACCCTCTTCACAACTCTTAAATCTACAGCATTAAGTGCATACATATGGTGTGCAACAATCACCACCACCCATTTCCAGAACTTTTTTCATCTTCCAAAACTGCAACACTATACTCCTTAAAAAGCACTAACTCCCTCCAGCCCCTGGCATTTTGCTTTTGGTCTCTCTGAATTTTATTATTCCAGGTACCTTGTATAAGTGGAATCATACATTTGTCCTTTAGCAATTAAAAAACACACACACACAAAAAAATCCTGGGATACAGAATCCAGATTTTCCTGTTTCCCAATCCAGGGTTCCGAGTTAGACTACATCTGGCCATTCTATTGACCTGAAATGAGTCTACACCCCTGGAAGATGGAACTTATGTGTTAGTAAGCTGGAATCCTGGTTTAATTCAATTAAGCAAATACTTGTCTGATGCCTTCTCTTTGCTTGGCCTATGCTCAGTGGTGGAATGAAGAGATGAAAAGACATGGCTTCTTATGTTGCTCACAGTCTGGTAGGAATGAGGGCATGTAAACAAATACTTAGCTCGCTGCCAAGGAGAAATGAGCAGAACTGTCTTTGGAGGCAAGGACAGGGAGGTGATATAAGGACAAGACTGAAGAAGTGGCATGTAAGCTGGGAGTTGAGGAACAAATAAGAGTTCAGTAGGGTTGACCAGGGAAGTGGGGGGAGAGAATAGTATTCTAGGCTGAGGAAATAATGTGTGCAAAGCCTCAGAGGCGTGTTCAAATACCTGGAGTGTTAGATACAGGGTGGGCACAGCAAAAGATGAGTTTCGGACATGAAAGCTTTGAGGGGACATGTTCAAAGTGGTATAAACCTTACAATTAGTCGCACGGGGCTAATTGTAGTCAGCATGGTAGTGAGATGTAGGAGCCGATATTGATAAGGGGAGAGGATGAAGAGTAAGAGGAGACAGAGGATGGGACCTGGGACACATCAGTGTTTAAGGGTGACAGTGGAAGAACATTCGGTGAGAAGGTTAGGAAGAAATTACTTCAGGTTGTTTGAATATCTATAGCTGTAGCGTGTCTACAGTTTTACTTATGGTGAAATAGGTCAGTGGTTTTTTAACATGAGTTACATTGGTGCCTGCATAACTTTTGAGTAATGCTAGCTAGGTAGGAACAAGTGGGTGTAGGCCAGATAATTGTGGGCTGACACGATGTACCTGTGCTACGAGTGGGGTAAAGAGATATTTTTAAGGACTCCAAACAAGCTTTCATTTTGTTGCACAGTTCCATATCAAGGGGAAGCACACTATTTTCTTTAAAAACAGAGATTTCAGGCATCTTTTCAGGGTTCTATAAGTTTGGTGACTTCCAAAGTTTTTCGGGTTGAAAGTTGATTTCATTGAATGGTGTCTTGCATACTAGTCCTAAAACCTGTTGGGAGGTCATGCTTGCTAAGTTTTGGGGTGTAATCAACTTGTCTTTACCCACAACTTCATAGAGCTGGGTGACTATTAGAAACACAGATTTCTATGGCAGATCCTTAAAATATTTGGTCCATATCCCTGGTTGAGAGATGTAGCTGAGACCCAGAGACGAGAACCAGATGCTCATGGTAGAATGGAGAGAGCACACACTCATCTGAGAGTCAAGAGACCTCAACCTCATTCTACTCTTGCCATGCTTTCCAGTAATGTAAGGTGGTCATAACACCTGCAGTGCCCACTTCAAATGAGGCAGGACACATGAAAGCATTTCAAAGGGCTTCACCATACAGAAGTAAGTTACTACTATTGCTAAGTTATGAGTAGTAATTTCACAACACGCTGAGAGGTGTCATTATCTTCATCCTCTTCTTGAACAATTCACCAACATCATCAAGATTATTAAGCACTAAAATTGTACATGAGGCCGTGTTAGATTTTTGTTCTGGAGAGAAGAGGATTTCTGCTTTTCTCGGAGTTCTCCATCTAAACCAACACATAGGTGGGATCTAAATAGCCACCAGATAATGATCCTCCTATTCATTTGACAAGCTTATATCAATGCACAGAGACCACAGGACTGCTAGGTCCACATGTTGTACAAGGGGCTGAGGCCAGAGATGAGCAAGACAGACTCATCCCTGCCTTCATGGAATGTACAGTCCAGTTGGGGTGGGAAGACAGATGTATAAAAGAGAAATTATACAATTAACTATATAGATATGTACAATTTGACAAGGAAAAATGTCTGAGGTATTTTGAGAATCTCTAACAGGCAGACTCATCAAGGCCGACAAGGGAGGCCATCCTGAGGAGATGTGTTTTAAGCTGAGAGCACAGGCTGCAGAGAAGTCAGGCTTACAAGCACGCAGAGATCTTGAAAACAGAGAAGTCTATTTAAGTAACTGTGGCTGCTGTGTCACCAGCAAATGTTTGGGGCAACGGTGGACAAAGTGATGAGGACCTGAGGGACACAGGAGACCATACGCAGGAGTTTAACCTTTATCTGAAGTGCCAAGATTCATCACCGAAAGATTTCAATCAAGCATGAGTGACAAGATTATATTTTCATATTTAAAAGATCACTCTGGATCAAATAGACTGAAGTACTCACAGATGAAATACTTGGGATTTTTTTCCAAAATAGACCAGGGGTGGCAGGGAGGAACCGGTTAAACAAGATTGGGCATGTGTCAATAACTGGCACGGCTGGGCAATGAATACATTCTAACATAGGCTTGAAAATGTCCATAAAGGGTAAAATTTTTAATATCAACACACAAATCAAAGTGTATGCATGCATACGTGCCTATGTATATGTATGTATACATTCACACATGTAGACAAAGTGAACTCAGTCTTCATGAATGAAGTGAGATGATTTAACAATCTTCTATAATAATAAAAGCACAATATGCTAATTAGACCAGATGTCCTTCTGTACGGCCTTCCGACGAAGCCAGGGCTGCGAGGGAAGCCCGGGTCCAGAGTGCCAGAGGGAAGCCGGTGCCGGCAGCTGGGGGAAGGAAGGCCTACTCTTGCACGAATTTCGTGCACTGGGCCTCTAGTACAATTTTAACAGAGAAAAAATGACGTGAGTCATGGATCTAGCTGCATCTTTAAGTTTAGTTTTGAATTTATTATGAAATATTTCAGTAAGGATGGATCCAGCTTCATTTTTTTTATTCTCAGTAAGAATCTCAAGGTCCTAGACTGGCAGTCTACATCACCCTAGTCATACTTATGCTACAGACAAAAATTAGTGGTTTTAGTATGCTTATTCTGTAATATCCTTCAACAGTCCTTCTCAAAAAGTGGATTTGTAATAACTAGATGGAACAAAGGAGAGCCCCCTCTTGTGTACTTGGCCCTGAGCCGCTGTCCTTGCAATCCTTAGCAATTTTTTTCTGCTGGGTTGGGTCTGCTTTTTCCCACCGAGAGGCAGGAAAGGTCCAAGATCCCTCAGCCAGCCCTTTACATCCGCTCTCACCAGTACCGCAGGGACAGGTCCTCTCTGCTTGGCTTCCTGAGATTTCCTGATCTTTTCTTTGGAACATAAGGTCAGGACTATTACTGGAATTGCTGTCTGCTGGGTATTTTACTTTTTTTTTTTTCCTTCAAAAGAAAATGCTTTCTGAATTCCTTCCTACCTTTTTAAATGGAAAGTATTATTCTGTATCTGTAGAAACTGTCTGGATAACCATTTATGGTAAATAACATACCATAGAGTTACAAAGACCTCAGGGCTTTGTGTGGGTGTAGCAGTGTCGGTGAGTCCCTTGAATTCAGGATGAGGGGAGCTCTTGTCCAGCATTCCACAGAAAGTGGTTGAACCAATGGGCACCGATGTCTCCCCGAACGTCAAGACTCCTAACTAAATAATACTTTCCTACCATGGTCCTTCCCCAGCCCCTCGCTCCTCCCATGGTGAACCTTTGAGTTGTTTGTGTGTGGATGTCTATTTCCTATAGACATGGTTAGAGAGCAGGCCCTTGCTTTTGAGACGACTCCCTGTGGGACACAGAATCAGGAGGAGTTCACATACAGCTTTCCGCCTAGGACTTCTACTTGAAAATATTTCTCATCTCACTAACCAATGAGCTTTGCATCTAAAAATAACCATGGTATGTGCTCCAAAAAATGCAGTGGGAAGACTATTCCTTGCTTGGCCTTTTGTCTCTCATTTCTCATCTTCCCTTTAAACATATATGTTAAATACTCACATGTGAGTGTACTGAAAGCAAACAATA